TTCCAACGTATTAACGAACAGTGACAACTGAAAAAGTAAGTCTGTTCGACATTATGAATGCCTCGGAAACATTACAAAGTTCTCAGTGTACCCTTTGGCGTTAGAGGTGCCGGAAGAGTGTATTGTCGTGTCGAGGTGGTCCGATCCGCAATCAACGCGGATGAGTTCGAAACATGTCGATTTCGTGAAGAGGCGTGAACTAGGATGTCGAGGGTGTACGTATTCGCATCTGGACGAGGGACCCTCGTTCGTAAACTCTTGATGGACACGAAGGAGAGGAACGTTTTAGAGCGGATAAAAGCTCCTAGAAACGCGTCAGCAGGTCAGCTCCCACGAGCCACATTATCCAGATCAAAATGTGATCAAATTGTTTCATTTCAATCGGCTTATATCGGCTGCTTCCCACGCGAGATTGTCTAATCAGTAGTAATTAGTAAGAACATTTTTGGAATTCAGCTAGGACAAGAATTTCTCGAGAGGATTGCCACCTTCGTAGCAGAACTTTCGATCTACGTTCTCCAATCGACCCGCGGAATAATTTACACCGATACGATCTGTAGCACACGTGGCGCGAAGGAAGTGTCGCGAACCCGTGAATGTTAGCGAACTCAGACGCGAATGATCGAGATAACCGGGAAACCTAAAGTTTCCGGTCTCTTATCTTTTATCTCTCCGCTGCGATCCGCTCGATCTCAGTTAATTCGAACTCCGCGCGAACTGCGACTTCTCCTTATGCACTTCGGTGTATCAGAAAAGTGAGCGCGGCATGGAGGATACACCTTGCTCCACCGGCAGGGATTAAAATAATAATAACGTCGGAAATTGGACACGGCGGTGGTACCCTCGTAATCTTTGCTGGCCATATGCCGGTACCGACTGGAACGAAGCCAGACGAACGTGAAAAAAGAAAAGAAGAAAAACGATCGCATACTTAATCTGACATTGTGCGAGCGGGTTAGGGTGGCAAACTTTATTCAATCGCGGCTGCGTTTCGTTACGGTCTCGCATTTCGAAGGAACAAGAAGGGGAAAGGGGTTCGAATAGGGTTACTTTTGATGCACGTGCCGCGAAATCCGTTTGTCCATTGATAAGATCGTGTTGATAAGGGGAGCGCCGCCTGGATCGACGATACGGTATTGCGTTAAATCGTCTACCGTTGCAAATCTTCGGATTTACTTTCAATTATGACATTCGACGTGAAGTAGGTGTTCAAACGAAGTCGAAAGCTAAACCGAGAATCTGTTATTCTTATGCACACGTGCCGTGGGATCTATCTACGTGCCATTACTGGCATTGCAAGTGTAAACACGTGCTAGACGCGAGATGGAACAACGTGAGCACACTACGCGAGTAGATTAGGGTCCGAAATGTCCGTTGACATCGGTGGTCTAGTTGGTCGGGGCTTAACGAGGATTTACCGAGTTTGCGTGAAAGCCTCTTGACCGAGCGGATCGTTTTCCCGCCAAGTTTCCGCGTGCCTGCTTTCAAGGGAACATTAATTTCAATTTTTATCCGTGAAAGTCGTGAGAAATGCACGCGAAACGACCACCGAATAATGGTACATTGTGGGTGGAATGCGACGAGTGGTCGAATGGTTGAGATGAAGACGAAAGAATGCATGAAGGCTGATTCCGTAAAAGGATCTTCAAAGGAAAACGATATTTCATGTTACTTGTTGGAAATAATTAGCAATGCTTCTCTAACCGTAATTTTATATCAATTCGATTTTCAATCTAACAATAAGAAATTATGGTAAAAAAATTGATTCGTCGTGAATACGTTTAGAGGTGCGATATAATTAATTAATGATAGAAACAGGGATATAAAATAAAAGTAAAAATGATGAAATGATTACTGACTATGTAAATTATTTTTAAATGAATGGTTCCCAGTCGGTTTCCAGGTACGAAGGTTATTAGCCAAAGTATGGCACGCGCAATTTTAATATCACCGCGAACCACGTTTTAGCCCAGCCACGAATCGATTTATTAAACTCGAAGCGGTCTCCGGGGATCTCTTATTCCAAAACGGTTCGCGAAGAAATGAGGTGTTCCGAAACGCCATATCGACGAAAGAGAAATGGAATTTCGGGAAATCTCAGCCACCCTTGTTCCGGAGACTCTATTTTTCGTGCCATTGAAATTTGTTCTTTCGCAAGTCATAATTCCATATTCCTTTGTTCCAATTCGTGTTCGTTCATCGATGGGATATTTTGATTAAAATAAAACCAAATTCGTCGATTCTAAGTTACCATTTCTATTCTCTTTGTTACACGTGTCATAAAAATAAGAAAATTCATTTTGATTGTGATCCACGGTTGGTTTAATCGTCTCATAACGATAAAAAGTTACTTTAGCAGACGTTTCGAGGTCGAAAGGAGGATAGGGTGGACGAGTTTGAACGATAGTATCTCGTTCGTCTAGTTAGTTCTCCCTCGCAGCCCTTCTTTTATATCGAGTCTAATGAACGCGATTACGAAAGCCACGATAACAGGGAAAGTGTGGTGAAACAGGGCATCGGCTTCGTTAATTGAGAAATACTGTTTAAACGAACGAACCTACTGCCGGAACCACCGAATTCAAATGGATAGCTTCCGGTCTTGGGGTCGTTTAACGATATCTCGTCGAGTTAGCAACACTCGAGGGCCAATCTTATCATTACTCGATGCTTAACGAACTTTTATCTATTATTCCAAGACGATTCACAGTAAATAATCGTGTCTACGGTGTTTTATGCAAAATTTAATATACAGTTTATATAGATATTAAATTGCGCATCAAATGGTAGAGAAATTCAAATGCACAGCGGCTTTGGCAAGCAAAAGCGAGCACGATTCGCAAATATTTGGCAATTAGCCAAAATTCCGTGATTAGCGTATCATTGTCTCAATAAATAGACAGCGCGTTTGCATAACATCATTCATAAATTCGGAGCATTAATATTTGTATCGATGACCTGTCAATAATTTCAAGTGGTATTCTCTATTTGTCGAACAAATCGATGGTTCATCAAACCGAATTTTTACGATGAAATCGAATTTCTAAATGGTATTTTCAAAATGCTCTTTTTTATACTCAGCAATCGTGAGAGAAAGGATACTTATCGTTAGTATTGAATTTCCTTTCTATCTATCCATGGCAATTGTAACTTTTGATCGTAACAAAGTACGATGTCTGATGGTAGTACACAAAGGAAGCGTTTTTATTCGATAATGTTCCACGAAGGAAAGTGTATCGATTCTCTGGTGTGGTGCATCTGGAATTTATTATATTCATACGAGGCACGCCATTGTTACCATCTCCAACAACGAACATCAGTTCTCGAGTGGGTCCCATATTCAGGGGGTTCGCGTTACTACGCCGTTTCGTCGCGAGATAAAGCGACGATCAGATTTTTGCATTCATTCATGAAAGGGAGATGGAACCCGCATCGCGGTTCAGTGCAAACTAGCGAGAGAGAGAGAGAGAGAGAGAGAAAAAAAAGGTAAAAGAGGGTTTGAGTTTGCGTTCGTACGCGCAAAAGAACCCCTTTCGTTCGACGACGCCGCGACGCGTCCTGATACCGTATAAAATATAGTAGTTCGCGGTGTGTTAGTTTACAATGGAGAACGAGTATATTTAGGAAAGGGCGGCTTTCTTTCATATGTTAAGCAGATCAGTGTCGGACAGTGTGATAGAGGGAGAGAAGAAAAAGGGGGATGAGCCAGGGAGAATCGAGAGGCGAGGATGGCTGTGTCAGTGCACGAACGTCCCCTTCGACTTTTACCCCGAAGAACTACGCGGCACACGCTCCTAAATGATCGCCGGCTTGACTTGATGTCGTGAAAAATAGCCGTGAACTCGCATCCTTCGGACATTTTTCTTTATAAACCATAAAAGTGAAGAGGAGAACGCGATTTTTTTCAAGTTGTATAATTTGATGCTTTTCTGAGATACTGCGCGGTGTTTCTCACGATTCATATTATACGGAATGGGAAAAGAACTCTGATCGTTTGAGGTATCATCTTGTTTTTAAAAATAACTATGTATCTTTTATCGTAAAAAAAGAATGAACGATTCGTGAGATTTTTCAGATTCAGAAATGAGATAATTTGGTATTAAAAATAAAAAATATTATATTTTCTTTTATTTTTATTGTACAGCATCAAGTACAGTCGGCCTTTCTGAGGAAAATGACATTATAGAGAATACAGAAATTTAATTTAATAAGAAAAGAAATTTAGAAAAAAGTACTAACATAATTTTTATTTATCAAATATTATCTTTGAAGGGGTAGTAAGGGCGAGATTCTGTGCAACTTTTTCTATTACTAAAATGCTCGTTAAGGCTTATAATTAATTATTCATTTTATTATTTTATGATTTAATAATTATTTAGTATTCTTATTTTATTATTTAACAACCATTTAATATTATTAATATATTATTTAATAATCATTTATCATTATTATTTTAATATTTAATAGTTATTTATTATTATTGTTATTACTGGATGATTTAAAAACGATCATGCTCGGTACTGTCCATGGGAAGCATCTTAATTACATGTCTTTAATTGATAAAATACTCTATAAACGTATCTCATTTCGTCTAATAATCTCCTATATAGCTTTATATCTTTCTGACTTAACGTTTATTTGTTATTACTTCATAATTCTACATTTCTCACTTTCTCCCCATCTCCTAAGAAATGCATTTATCCCTCGATGAAACGAGGAGCGACAGTTATACCGTTACGTGCTATGTAATTCTAACGAGTTTTACGATCGTCACATAAGTCGCTGGTTGACTTTATTCGACGTGCTACCGAAAGCAAACGAAAGTGAAACGAGAGAAAGCAAACAGAGCGACATAGATGCGACTGAACGTTATTATCAAAGGCCTGACGAACATTTAACGATCCGGCGGACAGCGATCAGCACATTAACAATAGAAATGAATTTCCTCGAGGTTCATTCTCAACGACATGCTATTTAATCTCTTTGTTTACTTTTGCTTTCAGAACACGTGAGGGAATTCAGCTGCGGAATGCTGTACTACAGAACGCTCTATCTGGACAGCAAGAGAGATGCTCTATACGTTGGTGCCATGTAAGTACCTTTATATTTTATATTTAATAATATTCTTTGAAAAGAATCTACGTTTCATACATCTTATACAGAACATTCCGCATAATGTAGTATTACTGCTTAGGGAATGATTCTAAATACAGAAATAAATAAAATTTGACTGTTTAATGTTGGTTCAAGTTTCATTGTATACATTTTGTTAAATCTGAGTCACAATACCTGCCGAACATATTAAAAATATTTCAAATATAGCAAAGAATCATTTTATCCTAGAGTATACTATACCATCTGTCCGTTATTTCTTTTATTATTAGAGTATTAAAACATCGAAGGATAAAAATCGTCCGCTAAAAGTTGCGTTTTTTATTCGCCGTCAAAGCGTGTCAGAAACGGAGCGTAGAGGTATACGTGTTGGGGGTTGAATTTTTATCATTTTCGTGATTAAAATTCTGCACGGATCGTGCAACGTTTCGATTGATTAAATTTCTTGGTAACATCGAATATCGGATAATCCTTGTTTTCAAATACTTTGTGTGTTACGTCGTCGCTAATACACGCCGGCTTTCATAATTATCGTCGCGCTGATTTCAACGAATCGTCACCCCCCCTCTCTTTCGGCCCCCATCCCTCTGTAGATCGCTTTTTATTCGAGACCTTATATCGGCGCGTGTACCGAATCGACGAGCAATTTTGTCGTTATTTATCGCCGGGTTCGAGATCGAAATGAAAAGTAACGTTTTGTTCGACAACGTAACTGGGTCGCTCGTGAAACATTCCGCGCGTTCGGCGTTGATACGAGCTTTACTGGTCGATATCGTTGATCGAGGGTGGTGGCACGATTTCCAACTGCTCCCGTTAACATTTATTAATTCATCGATTCGAGACAGGAAAGCGAAGCTTTTCGCGATATTTAAAACGCAGGTGATTCATTTGTTATCAATTGCTTTCTGTCAAGTTACGGTACAAATGTTCTGATACGAATGTATTAATTTAAAACGCGAATTAATAACAAAAATACTTGCATTCAATATATTTAGAATCTAGAATTCGATTTGTCTAAAATTTTAGCTTCGAATAGCTATGAACGCAAATTTCTCTCATTATTAAAATTATTAATTACACTTGCGTCGTGAAATTCGCCATAATGATGCTCGAACGCGTCTGCACTCGTTTTTGTAATCGGCTTCCTCCGCGATATTTGCATGCACTCTTAGCTCGAGTACTGAAATATACACATACCGCGTTTATGTACCGGAACGTTCCTCTGTACACGAGGGGAAGACCAGCTTTCGTTTGCTAAACGTTTCAATTTGCAGGAAGCTAATTTACTGAAACCTTCTGGGGCAGGAGAGAAACGGGACGGGACGGAGGAACGAGCGCCGCGAATTAAGCCGGTTGAACTTTTAAGAACGTTTCCGATTAATGTTGACAATCGGCCGAATGGAAAAAACGCCAGTCGCGATTACCTGTAATCGCGTAATTATTTTCCCAGACGGCGCCGTTTAAATGAATACGCTCTAATCGACGAAATTGCATCTGGAATGTTGTTTCATCGTTGTTTATTCGCGTTATTTTGATCCATATAAAGCGATTTTATTTGTCGCAAGGAAATTAGAATTATATATTCTAACGCATTTGCAACTAATATTAAAAATAAAAGACACGCTTTAATCAAATTAAATTTCTATTATCGTTTTAGCCCCTTAATTTATCTGCAAAACTAATACTTCGTTCGAATAAAAAGCAATGTACAAATCTCTTAGGTAGCCTCGTACTGGTAATACAATATTCGAATAGGGGGCTATCTTTTAAAGCGTAGCTCGTCGGACGAGGGAATAAAAAAAAAAGGGGGTGGTTTCTTCAAGGGTGGATAGAGATTGTGACGAGGGAACGTTGCATCATTACTACAGAAGTATTATTTCTTGATTCGGTTCCAACCTTTCCTCCTTTGGCCCTTGTGTTACTATCCTGCTGGCCATTCACTAGCGTTTTCTTTTGTGAGCCTCCCTTCTTAATTTGGTAAATGCCAACGAAATGCTACACAGCTCTGGTAATGGAGAAGCTTGCCGGGGGTAGCGTCTGAAAGACGTTGGATACACAAACCAGAGAGATTTTCGTACGAAATGAGAACAAGAATCGCGCGATATATCTATTGTGACGGGTAAAATTATGTCGTGGATTATATCTCGTGAGCGATGGTAAGAGAAAAAGACATTATGGCAATAATCGTTGCGTAGCATCATAGAACATTAAGATTCATGATACACGCGTGTAATAATCGGTAAAAAATATAAATGATACATTACGTTTTTTTTTGCAATAAAAGTCATTAGCATGAAAAAATGCAAAATGTTTTTTTACGGGACCAATCGGGAGACATACTTTGTAATATTTATTAATAAAATTTGTAACGAAATTTGTAATATTTATACGATATTGTTACATTTTCGAATTTTTTTTTCAGTTTTTCAGGATACCATGTATTTCGGCTAATACATGAGTGTATCAATTTAACGAGCGCTAGAATCGTTTTATCAAGTTCATTGGGATTACAAGGCTCATCAAATCATACAGACGATTCGAATAAGGACAATTCATTCCGGCCATATTCATTGGATTGAGCGGTGCTTACGCGGTTCATTTGCCAAATAGTCAGGGTAATGAAGGTTTAATCCTGATTCTGATCAATAAAGTTGCATTATGTTAATCTAATAGATAATTTCCGGATAATCGATTGGCATTGAATTTCAAAGCGCCTCGATGAACAAACTGTTAAATTTAGTATTTCGATAAATTCATTTTCGCACGCGAATGACATCGAATTCGCAACAGGGTCGTTAAAACTTTGTTGATCTCGTGCCGTGTGTTCCCAGAGAAAATGGTACAAGAAATAAATAAATTCCCAAATTTCTAAGTATATAGATTTCCTGAATAATTTTTCGCCTAATTGTTTTCGATTTAACTTGAATTTCGCGAGCTTATTACACGTGGCGGGAAACTCGTCGAGACGCGTCGAACGACGTGAAATAATTTTCAGTCGGAACAAAGTTTCCTCGTGACCGAGGGTGATCCACGACAGAAACGAGATTACTGTAGGGGCGAAGTAAATCGGATAAGGGTGACAGCGAGGCAAAGAAATGACGAGCGCGTAAGATGCGCCTACGCTTTTAAAGTAACACCGTTCGTTTCGGTAACGAGATGAACGCTCACCATACGGAACGAGCAAGGGTAGAAACGCGACTTACGATAAATTGCATTCACAGACGAGACAGATGGAGAAAAATAGAAGAGTCGCTGAATTTTAACGTTTCCTGTTTCCTGGCTTCGTTCCATCGTGCTCGATGCGCCTCACCTTATCCGCCTTACGGGCCGCGTACGTAACCCATTCCGTAATATCGGATTCCGATAAGAATTCTCGCGCAAAAGGAAAACCATTCCGACATTCCTTTCCCAATGATGTGAAACGATTAAGCTCTATGATCCATGAGAGCCGATTCAACGATCAGCCTCTCGATTTCAAATGAAAGGGTAAAGCCGGTTTGTAATTTCATTAAGCGCCCTCGAATAAAACGCTGCCACGTTATTAGCGTATTCCAGCCGAGGCTACGCGTCATAAAATAAATTCGAGCCAGTCAAGTTTCGAATTTGAATTTTGATCGGACAGGAAAGAAACGATCGTGTTTCTCGATTATTTCGAACCGTCAACGAAGAGATAATTATTTTTAGGAAAATTGTGTACGAACCTATTCTCTCGCGTAGCAATTTTTTCCCCTTAATTGGACACAGTTATTCGCGTTCGCGAAACGTGCCGTGGTGAAATGTATGGAATGAAAGCGTCGAAAACAATTCTCCGTCGTGGAAAGGCGTTGACGCGTTAATTAGCATCGTTGAATTACGAAATTCGATATTAATTCGATAACTGGCAGATTGCCAGGTGGTAACCACTTTCCGGGCGTTGATTAACGATCTACGTATATACGGATTTCGGTAACGGTGAACCGTTATTTCTATCAGCTTTGTCGATTCTCGTGGTTCGACGAGCAACGAATTTTCCGCGGTTCGACTTTTCTCGTGGACGCGTATAGAAAAAAAAAAAAAAAAAATCTGGTTCGAACGACGGATTTATTCACTTTTGTGACGCGACAATCTCGCCGGACCTTGTTAAAATTATCACGGGTTCCACCTTTCGCGCGGTGGAAATAGAGAAAAATAACATCCCTTTGCGGCCGGAAAAATTTCATAAAAACAACGGCTCTCGTCATAGTACCGTGTCGATCGAACGAAAAATAAAAAGAGATCAGTGTTTCCGCTTGGAATAATGGACAAAGGGGCGAGCGGACACGGCGATGGAGTTAAATCGATACGTCAAAACAAATTGCTCGATAATGCTTCGACCTGTGTGATAATAAATCCTGCAGCTCGTGTAAGAACCGTGCTTGTATCTTGCGCGTGTGGTAAGGAGGAAACTGAGAAAATCGAAGAACCAAAGGAATAAAGAAAATAAATGATAAAAATGGAAGAAAATTGTTAGAAAATTTTATATTTTTCAAAATCACGAATTATTCAAAATTACATATTTTAATTGATAACAGCTGTTTACTTGAGTTTATTTTGAAGGGTTATATCCTCTGACTGAAACTTGTCAAACACCGTATTGTGTGTTCATCAACATTGTTTTCACTAAACACTGTATTAAATTACCAAAATAACATTCTGTGTAGAATATTCTGATTGAAGTTCGTAAAGGAACAATAGACGAATTTCTAATCCATTGTTTGCTATGACTGGCAACCAACCATTTTGCGTTAAGAACATTAACCTTTGTGCGAACAACTGGGCTATGTCCCTATGAAAATATCACAAAATCATTTCCGACAGTTTCACATCAGTTTACATTTTTTTTTTAAATATGCAAACTAAGGAATAAATTTTCATTTAGGTCTCATTTCTTCGTTTATCTTCCGTAGAAAATATGTAGGTAACGAGGATCACTTATCTTTCGGGTCACTACGTACGTGTTTCTAATAGGTCTGTTCGCCCCTTCCAACGTTCCCTTGTCCTTTATGATCCCTTTTTCCCTCCTCTATTGCAAGCACGGATCGATACTACGTCCGAGCATCGTTCCTCGTTAATTAGAAAGGTGATACCCATTAATTATAGTTCGAGAATCGGCGGCCTGGTTGCGGTTCGCTCTACAATTAAGGCACGCTAATTGAACGCTTCCAATTATCAGACTCGGGAGTCGTTGACTGGTTGCAAGAAAAAACGCTTGCGTTCGCGGATATCGCGGTGTCGACTATCAAATCTCGTCTCCGGCAAATAGCTGTGCGACACGAAAAATCTTTCGATCGCTCCTTCTCGCTTCATTCTTAACAAACCCCTCGATTTTCTTCGTATTTCCGCAATTTCATGGAAATTATCTTTCGCCAAGGATTCCCTGTTCCCCCTTTTTCTCTCTCTCGTTTCCCTTATTCACGTTGAGTCGATTCGTTATTTTCTCGCGGACCCTTTCGTTTTTCTTTCTACGACTTGTGTTCTATCGTCCTCCATTGTTCAACCCCTTTTTTCACCTTCCTTTTTATATACACGAAGTAAGAACTCGTAGTCGTGGCGATACTTGTCACATTTTATGGTTTCGAATGAAAAGTTTAATGGTTAATGGCTACTTCTCCTGTCGATAATGGTGTAAAACGATGACATCGATTAGTTTCATCGTTCTCACTCAGCAATAAACGTCAGGTTCGTGATAGTGGGGCCATGGGTGTATCGAGTACACGTTAATGCACTGCAAGTGTCACATAGATTATCGTATTTATGGCACTTTCAGCGATACTTTTCTATAGCCATTAACACGAAGATTGTAAATTTTTATAATGGCAACAGAATACGATCGTAACAAATGTTCTATTTCATATCTACCTCGTGTACTGTGTATTCCATAAAGCGTTTCCCTGTGTATGGCAATTTTTCTAATTCAATACATTTTATTGACATTTCAATCACTGTCGTTCACACTGATTTTGATCGTTGAAATTCGTAAATTAGAAAGCTTATGATTTGATTAGAGGAATGGTAATTTCAAAATTTCTGTAACGTCGAGTACAGTACAACCATAAAATTCACGCCATTAAAACGTAACACCAAAGGATACTGCTATATTTTACATAATTAAACGGACGCGAATATAGTAGGATTCTGGAAACATGGTAAACGCATTTAGCGAATCAATCGAAATCCAGCGGTATGTGATTAGATTTCACGCATGATCGATGCTGACCATTTTGGCAATTGATACGGCATAATGCTGCACGTACGTTTGAAATCGATAAGCGTGTATTGTTATACCCCGTTTGAGACTGTGATAATCGTTTCAACTACCGATGTTCTTTTGTGTCTCTCGTTTCTCGTGTAACAAACGAACCACGTTGTAATCAAATGGATAGATTGCGAGTCGCAAAATTTTCATCACTGAAAGGATTGAAATATCATTCATTCGTTACAATAAGGTTCATATTGTTCAATATTTTTCAAAATTGTGAACACACGACAGGGTGAATATTATACATAATTATAATATTTAATTGATATCAATCGATCAAAGTTTACGAAAGTGAGAAATAAAGGGATGAAAATTTAGCGGTGAACTTCGGTCCATGGTCACCGATTTCGAAGCTGACTGTGCGATATTTTTTAAATCGAAAACACGATGACTTCACGGTCGCGTTCCCATCGCCATCGATCACCCCTGCAAATTGCTTTCGTACAAATTTTTTCCTTTCCACTTCCGTCTCGAAGCGACGCGATCTCGCACGTACACAGAGCCTTGCTCGCCCCGCCTTTCCCATCCACCTGCTCAGCCCTTGGAAAGTTCTTCGGAGCGAGAAGCCGACGCGGCTGGATTCCAAAGTACGGATTTGTTTTTCCACGTCGCTATTTACTTTTTCACGGCGGCGTGCACAGGATGAATGAGGAAGGAAAAGCTCGAGGGGTGGTGGAACCAACTACCTCGCTCTCCTCCCCCGACCCTCTCTCTCTCTCTCTCTTTGTAGGGTGTTCTTTCCTCTTATCACGCTTCTCCCGCATTCCGTCTGACTGCGTGCTTCCATCGAAGCCCAATGATAAATGGTTATTGGAAATAAAGTTATGCGCCGCGTCGGCGTTAATGTTGCGAAACGCTTGGAAACTGGGTAAATTCGATTTACGAGCTACCGATGTTTCACGTTGCGTGTAACATTTCGCTCGATCCCCTGACACACGCACTTTTGTTTTCGTCAAATGCAACAGCGACCGTTGAAGCATAAAAAAAAATTCTGATACATTTTAAGCTATATGGTTGATTCTATTTTTGGAATAATTATCGATGATGGGAAGATTTAATAGGTGCTTCAAGCCTTTTCGATTTCTTATTAAAGAGATCAGAAAATGCTGTAGCAAATCTAGGATACCTGGGAGCAGCGTGTAATCGAGCTGTTAGGAATTCGATCGTCTTAAGAAAATTCCTTCAAAAACACGTCGCGTCGCGTCGTTGGGACACGAAGGAAATGCAAGCTTCAATGTCGTATTCGCTGAACCGGGGAAAAGTTTCGAAGACCCTCGTTACTTTCCTTCCTTATAAGTATTCTTATTTTTTTTCCGACGAATCAGCTGAAGAATCGTGCTTCAGCGTGGGAGGTCCTAATAAAAGCGAGCGATAGAAAGGAAACGAAAAACAGCTCGTGATTTGATGGGAAAGTGTATACGAATGTTGAAAAGGTTGAAGGCTGTGGAAATTTAAGGTCCTATAAAGAAAATCGAAAGCAAAGTATGCTGGAATAATGTAGATTCATAGAATGAAAATTTGCAAATTAGTCTGTTAATTATTCTTTCGTTTAGCATGAATCGTTTAATTAACACGTTGGATGTTCTTTGTTATAGGGACAAGGTGTTCAGGTTGAATCTCAGCAACATCAGTCACTCAAACTGCGAGGTAAGTGTCTTTTCTAAAACTGTCAAACAAATTTCCTCACACTTTCCTACAATTGAACATATTACTTGTCCGAAACAGTCCGAAAAACGCCATCTGCCGCAGCATCACGCTTCGATTAACCAGTGGACTGCAGATGTAAAAGACTGAATATGCCTTTGTTTTCGGGGGGTCATGATTTAGGAGGTCCCAGACACCCCAGATGAGATTTGATCTGCGTGCAGAGAGCAGTCTTGAGCACAGAAAACTAGCCTTGTTGGATCTGTAGTCATTGGATTAACATCAAACGTCGCGTAACCCTCCTCGGCTTCGCTTGCAGTTTGGTCCGACGATAAAATCCGTGATTCTTTTCCGTAAATCCGAAAAACGGTCTTCGCCGTTCCCCATAAAACTGTCAATCACGTTGGTCGAAATGTCGTCTGCATCATCGCGACAGCTGACGACTCGGACCGGTTAAACGATCCATTGTAGGCGAACTGTATCCCGACTTTTCCAGCCGGCTTTTTCTTTCATCCCGCCTGGATACGAGCGTTTCGTGTCGAAAAATCGACGTTCAGCTTAATGCACCTCGCTGAAAATGGACTCGCCACCCTGAAAATCCGTGACGTTTCACGGGCCTGTTTCACGGACCGATTTTCCCTCTTCTCGTTCGTTTTTCATCGTTTTCCACGAAGTCGATTCTGGTCCGAGCGATATCATACAACTTGATTTTCGTTTCTTTCTCAGAGGAAATAGCATTTACAAGGTGCAGCACCTCGATTGTTCTTAAATTTTAATCCTATGGAGGTCAGATGGGTTATCAGACACCTCGGTAAAGTTAAATCTGCTACAAATTGTGGATCGAACGATAAAGCCCTGAGGAGTGCAATCCGATGTTCGCGAGATTCGTTTCATACCGTGAAATGTTTGCACTTAGAGAGTCGTGATTTTGAACGAGAAGCCGTTTGCAAAAATCAATTCTCTCGTCGGAAGCAGGGTTCTCGAGGAAATGTCACGAATCGAAATCGAGAGCCGTTTGGTCGTTCGAGATAACCCGTTATCGAATTCGAACGGATCATGGACAAAAGGAGAGGCAGTAACGAAGAAGAAGCGGAGGAACGAAGGTTAATGGCAATTTCGATGGAGGCGTTTCGTGTAACGGGTGAAAAGAAGACAAAAGGACGAAGAAGTGTGTTTCCACAGATCGGATTTCCGTCTTCCTGCGAACCATTGCAACAAACCGATCGAAAGTTCGCCGGACCAACTCGAAACTTACGAGCCCTGGAAGGGGTTTAAAAGCAATTTTATTTCAGTGGTCAACAACCGGACAGCAAGTGGCCATCGACACACCAATTTCAGTGTTACTAGACTTGTTTCAAGAAAGCAATTTAAATTCGATCCGAACGAAACGATACTTGATTGATACATCAAAGAGAAACTATAGAAAATTTTCGGTTGACAAATCTCAGAATTAGAATTGTTTGTTCTGTAAAGAATGCATAGATAAATGAAAGCAAACTATGCTAGTTACTATTGTTTCGCAACGATGTGTTTTCTTCTTTGTTACAAAAACAAGAGAACAACATTTTCCCATCGATCGAATATCGGAAAAATGATTGTTCATTGTTCCGCGCAATATCCATGCGAGTACGCCAAAATCCCAACAGATTTTCCGCGAAATGGACGTCGGCAAAGTATTTGTGTACGCGAAAACAAGAAGAGTCGCAGTTGTTATTGATGACAAGCGGGGATAACGAGAGCGTGGGATGTTATTAAATTTCCAGTGGATTGTGGCCAATAAATTGAAAAGCGTTTGAACAGCGTTCGTCGGCGAACGGTTGGAAAACAGCGTCGAATTTTTCGAGTTACTCGAAGCGATAAAAAGAGAGGGAAAAAAGGTACGGAATGATCGTAGAAGAACGTAAGGGAAAACAATTTTCAAGGTATCGAACGGTACATCGAGTAGTAGCTTTTCACGTATCTTTACCTTCTACGCTCCATTGAAATCGGCCATTGAATTCCATCGAAATTCCCTCGGGAGGGGCAAGGAGGAGTTTCCAAGAAAAAAAATGAACTCTTTCTCGATACCGATTCTATGGCCGGGCACAAAGAACGTCGAAACGACGCTCCGGCATGGGGTAGAAAACGACAATTCGAAAATGCAATTATTCCAGCAACGTATCGTTGGTCGTGCCACCTGTCGCGAAACCGAAAACCACCCCAAGTAGAGAACGGGGGGAAAAAACACACGTGGAAAAGAGAAGGAGAAACAGAAACAGAGCGTGGCAACGCTGGTCCGTCTCTTTGGCCAGATGTGACGATTGTGACGACACGAAAAAATAATTTAAAAGCGGAGAACAACGGACGATCGGTGGACGGGGGTCGTAGTTGAAAAAAAAAAGGGTAACTCTCGAGTTTCGTCCTCTCGATTGGCCCGGCCAAAATGGATCGAATTTCCAGCCGGTCCTTTTTTCCCTCCAATTTTCTTTAATTATCATTGTTCGTCCGGTTTGCGAATAGTAAATTGATGCGTGTAAAACGTTCGCGTATTCTGTTTCTCTCGCGTTCTTAGTGTGGGTGTCCTGTGTGTAAAAAGGACTTTTATTTGCAACACGTTGGACGAAAAAAGGTGTTGCAGGAAAAGGATAGCCAGACATATTCGTAAACGAATTATATTTATCATTTGAAAATCTTGAGAAGGGGGCTGTAGCATTTAGACTTTCTGTCACTTTTGTACAGGCCAAACGGTAAAAGTGTTTAATGAGTCAAAATCTGAACGAATGGCCGAATGTTTTTTTTTTGCCACTTCCGATGTGACCTGAAATGGTTGAAAAAGGGTTAGCTCTAGAGCGAATCTTGTTGAAATTATAATACATTATAAAATGAAGGTCTTTCTTCATTCTTTTCAGAAGCAATGTCAGATTACTAGATCGTAGCCAAAAGTTTTAGTATCCACGTTTACTTTAAACAAACTCTTCTATGAAACTCGTGTTTATCGATCCCTCGCCGGTTCTTTTTCTCTGTTTGCCTCGGTTGAGTTTATGCATGTATCTTTAAAAGGACATCTATTGCATGATTCTGTCGAACACGAATATAAATGTAGCTGAAGTTTTCCTTTTGCTCTGTCACGCTATGAAGCCGCGTTTCGTTAAAGCTTAGCCAGCACGAACCGTTACAGGGAAACAGTTGCAATAAAATTCCGTATCAAAGCTGACGTTACCGCAGAGAATTTAGTTCCATGGAGGATTCAACGGAAATGCGGTTTAGACTTTGCTTACCGTGGCGTCGTTGCAACCTGACCAAACATTAACGCGTTCAACGTTCCACGTTTGATTTTCGAATTTCGTCCTTATCAATTTATCTTAGGAATCCAATTTTCCTCTTTTATTCTCGTTAAGATGGGATCATAATAATTTCAAGTATGTTTGGTGGTCGTGTTCGAGTATTAAAACCATCTTGCTTCGTTAATTCCTAAAGAAATTGTAATAAAATTATGTTACACGTAAAAAATTTAATATGCTTCCAACCATGGATACTAAAGTTTCCTCGGTTTTCTTCGTTAAGTTGTTCACCGTGAATGAAACAAAAGAGCAAAGTCTTTAAAATTCAATCTCCTGGCGAATAATTTAAACTCTCGTCCGAATCCCGTTAGATTTCAATTTGATCGTTGATAAATGCAAACGCCGTTTCTCGGGAAGAACTCGATTCAGGGTAGTTCCCGGTTCCCCGGTGTCATTATCAAGTTAGACCACCAAGGAGAACGAGATTTTTGCCGGGAAAGCCGGGAAAGTTTACATACTCGGCAACGGGGAAAGCGAGCCGGTACCCGTTTGATCCCTTCGTTCGCGCCTGGGGAGGGCATGAAAAATTCGCGAAAGTTGGCCAGCCGGTAGCCGGGTGCAGTTACAATGAAATCCCATTGCGAGCCTGCCACCGCAGAGTTCGATTCCATGGAGAATTAACGGGAATGGGATTTCGATTTTGCTTTAGTGCCGCGCTGTAACGTAGCCGTAAAACGTTAGCGCAGACTCGGTCAGGCCGCAGCACCGGCCATCCCTCTCTGACAAACCCCATGGGTGTTTCTCGCGACTGCAGGGCTACCGTTACACAGGGTGGAATGTTCGGCGTAGAGAAAAAAGTGGGCTTCGATACGTAAGAAGTCGGGTCTAAATGCAATTTCGCATTTTGCATACATGCATAACGATTGTGGTTTTAGATCCAACCGTGCTATGGTTTCGTCTTCCGGTGGGGGGTTCAGAGGAAATTGATACGTTCAAAGGTACTTATATCCAGAAATTCGACTTCTGAAAATAGAATATCTTGAAGGTGAAAAAGTTTGTTGAGAATAAGTAGTGGTTAATACATTGACAATAAATAATTAAATTCAAAGAAAATTATATGTTTTATAACGCTAGAACTAGCAAACCAGTTAAAACGATTGACAAGTTTCCTAGTTTAATTTATAAATTTTATCGAGGTATTTTTGTTGAAATGTATATTAGCTATTGTGGAGATTAACGCGTTGAATGCCGCAGTGAAAATGGGTATTTGTTGTGGGACGTATTGAAGCTCTAATTAATAAGAATAGGAATAGTTAATTTTCAAATTTCAAGTTTTCTATTTACTATCTTACATTATTTGTACAAATGCAATATTATTGAAAATAATGTTTTTCTATTATCTTTTTCTAATTATTCAGGCACGTGTAATTTGCTACGGCATTCAATATGTTAAATTATATTTCATCCTTTATCTATTTAATTTTCTACATTATTTTCAACTTAAAAATAAGTACGCATCAAACGTTGGCAGTTCCACTGCATATTATGTACGTCTGTTTCTATTAACACTGAGATCAAATATAAATCAATATTGCAGATTGAAAGTCTTAATTGAAAAAATTCGATTTAATTATCCCAGCTGTCGCTGGAAGTGTCGAGGAATTGGAAATGATCTGAAACACGATCGATCAATCGTAATCCACGACAAGTTCATTCTCCATACGAAGTAAATTACATCGGTGA